AGCTTGGTTGTATTTAACAGCAAGTTGTTCGTTTCCGTCGGAAAGTGTTGTATAATTTCACCATCTCAGACCAAAGATCTACTTTTCTGGTAAAACGAAACACCAATCTAATCACTTTGTTCTTTGTTTGTTCTGTCAATTTCTGGGGGCTGAAACACCAATTTGGGCATTTTCTAGTGTCTACCTTTGAGAGGAGGTGCATGACCTGGATCAAAGGGTGTTTTGAATAATTACACCATAGTGATTGTCCTGAAGCGTCTTTGACATGGCTTAGATACGAGGACGGGGTAGAAGGGGAAGCAAAGCAGGCTTCCGGCCTTTGTTCACTGTCCCAGCAAAACGCTGGCAAAGTTTTGCTTGATTTGGCTTTGACGTGGCTCCACTGTTCTTTGCCACTCTTTGTTTGCTTTTTGTTTTTTTTATCCAGCTCTGTGTAGTGGTTTGTTTGAGTTCCGCTACAGAGATGACAGTTTTTTGCTTTATGTCTCTGCCATCTTCAGACAATTTTGAATTCGATGCACAAATACCAGCCTCGCTTTCATTTGGTGAAGGCCAAAGACGTGATGCGTTTGCCTTATTCAACCTTTCGAACCTTTACCTTCAAGGAAACGGAGTTCATTGCGGTCACCGCTTATCAGAATGAAATGGTTAGTTTGACGTATGCTTTATTTTTTATTTATTAACAAGAAGCTAACGAAGTTTGCTTTACACGTGAAGACACCAAGACTGAATAACACTGTGTACATTTAACAGGTCAAGTTCCATCAGTGACTGGTTTGATAGCTAAAACTCAAGGGACTTATTCCGTATACAGTGAAACATATGAAAATCGAGCTATTCTGTTTGGATGTTAAGCTGAACAATTTATGAACGACCCTCGGAGCAAATATCCATAGAACCTTTTCCTACGGTGCTTACTAGCTTACTTACATGTTATGCAATAAATTGAAATTACTTTATTAATTCTTCGATGCTATTCATCTTAAAAAAGTTCAATTAGAGTAGATTGCCAAATACCATAATTTTCATTCTGTTTTAAAAAAGCACAATTTAAAAAAGCTGCTGCCATCGTGGATAAAACACGCCTCGGAATAAACACCTAAAATCGGACTTACTTTCAAACTAAATAGCATAGAAGAATTATCTGCTTTTGCATGGGAGTTTAAATAAGTTAACTACCCTATTTTTACACATTATGCATTTTTAAAAGCGATTAATTTTTTTACCTTTGCAAACAGTTGAGGAGTGAATTTTAAAGGATGATTGCGAATTAACCATTTGAATGAAATGGGCAGTTATTGCTCTCTACTCCTTTGCATTAAATAAAGAATTCAGTGCTTGCCAGTCAACTGAAGCAAATAGGCCTCATAGGAGTTGAGAAGATATTCGCAATTACTCTCAAATTATATTTTTTTGCCCGCTAGTAGAGAAATGTTTTCATAAGCACTAGGCTCAAGGTCACATCACCAGTCAAATACTGTGAACTCACACAGGCAAAAACTCTGCTGCAAGATTACTTTCCGATAATTGGTTTTGAAATCGCTTTTTCACCCCTAACTTTTGGCTATCTGGACGTGTCAGGTGGAAGTTTTTAATTCAGAGCATAGCAGCACCTCCCCAGCAGTTCTTCATTCCAAATTAACAGATTTTAGTCCAAGATAACTTAGTTGCAGACCAACCAACTGAATGCACTTCAAATATCCGGTTTTATTTAGATAACCCAACTGAAAATTGATCACAATCCGTTCGCAAAGGGCTTCCGGGATAGTGGCGGCGGTCGAAGAGACAAAAAGTAAGTTCTCCGGTTATACATACAACGTTTCACAATGAATATCACTCAAATACCTTTTGTTTCGACTACCTAGTTAAATGTTTGGAAAAAAAGGTGTCCTTAATCAAACGTCCCACTCTTTCATTTTCCTTTTGCACAGACGAATTCAAGGAGGTGCAGGCAAAACTCACCAGTTTTACAGTTCAGGAGATTTCCACAACGATCAAAACGGGATTTCCTCGTCAACTGACAGTGCGCTGCAATGTTCAAACAGTGGTTCTGAATCTGACGGAGAACTCGGCCACAGCAATACTGACGCTTTTCTAACGGGCGCGTCGGTGCATGCACCAAGTTCCCTCAATCGACTTTCATCCTTCGAAACGAGTTTTCATGAATATGGTAGGTATTTGCTCTCTCTACTCTTCGTACTCACCTATTCGTGTCCATGTTAAGTGGTTTCCGTTATCATAACATATTAAAGAGGTTCAGTGATCGATGTGCAACTATGCAACCCGGGAATGCCATCTGAAGATTGAGGAGAAAAATTCGATCACTGGTGTCAATATTTTATTCCAGCGATCGTCTGGCCTGATTATGGAGTCCACGACCAGAGATAAGTGGACATTAACTTGTCAGCTTAATAACTAACCAGTTCTCTGCATATTTGTCCCCGTACATGTCCGTATAGAACTCATTAGCGGTCAACATCTTTGGGACTGAATTACGGCCTTAAACTCGACTGTGTATTGTTCGGGAACGAGTTCGTCGTCCCGTATTCCGGTGCAGAACAAGATTCCCACGCCTCGTGTGCATCCCTACTTACGACGCTTTCCATTGTGAATGCGGCAGCCAGACTGAAGGTGCGATTTTATTCAAGACGAGAAACAATAGGTGTCTCATCGAACTGTCACCATATAGTGGAGTAAACTTATGCCCAGTTTTCACGCAGTGTAACCTGCGTACTTGCCAGGAAAGTAGGCTCACGGGCTAAGGCAGATAACACCAGTGCATTCGGAGTTCGGA